TCTGATGAGACTATATGGCGATTGATCAAGACTTTAAAAATGGTTAGATCTCACCATTCTACCCGGCCAGGAATCGAACCTGGAACCTATCCGTTGTGAGGCAACGGCCTTAACCACTACGCCAGGCCACCGGGCTCATTCAATTGAATAAATGAAATAAACAATGAATTATACACATGATAAAACGAAATGATGGACAAAATAACCGTTCGGAAGCATTTTGCTCATTTATTAGCAAAAACGACTATTGCTACGTTCACCTCGTCCGAAAAGTGCCTTTTCGCTTACTTGTAAGCGAAACATAAACGAAGTCTTTTCACAGTTTGGCCACTCGCTGAACGTAACATCACTGTCAAAAAATATTGATCGACACATTTGACACGGGAATATTCAGCTCGTGTGATTGGCAGCTCACTTTCGCTTCGGGACACCAACTTCGAACTCGTGAAAATTCCGTCTTACTCGTATCGAAATATACAATTTTGACACTGCTGCTACGTTCACCTCGTGCCGAAAAGTGCCTTTTCGTTTGAGTCGAGATTTGATGATTCAGAGATTAGATAGGGCTACTTGAAGGTGTAGTGGTGCCTGCCATGTAGGATGGCACAGGTTTGATTCTTGAGTGACTGAGTGAGTCGAGATTTGATGGTTCATAAATGAAAAGTAAACAAAAAGTCTTGGCACCCCGAGGTGGAGCCGAGGGATTCACCGAGGAGGTTTTAGACCTTTTTGACCGCGTGTATGCGTGATTGAGAACAACACAGTTGTTTTGGTGCGAGAACAACCCCGTTGACAGAGTTGCAAGGGTCATGCCTCAGAAGGGTCAAACATCGCAATGGTCATATCTCGGTCATACCTGGTCCAACGATTATGAGGGTCAGACCAAAGGAGCAGAAAGGTAAATTATCAAGGGTCGAAGGGGAGAGATGATTCTCGCGAGGATAACCCTTGCGATCTGTGAACCTTGCGAGGTATGACCGTTGCAACGTTTGACTCTTACGAGGCAGGATCATTGCGAGATATGACCTGTGCCACATTTGACCCTCGAGAGGCATGATCTTTGCGCGATATGACCCTCATGACGTTTGACCCTGGCAAGGTATGGCCCTCATGACGTTTAACGTTTAACCCTCCCAAGGTACAACCCTCATGAAATTCAGTCACAAGGGTTATTACCCTCATAGTCGGATTAAGGGGTTTTCTACCAGGTATTTACCTTTTTTACGGTTTAGAGGTAAATTACCAGTAGTCTACTATGTACCGCAGAAAACTCCGATTTTCAGTAAACCACCCAACCCTGTTTACAAGTAAACAGAAAGACTTTTCGTTTACGAGTAAACGAAAAAACACCTTTGGTCATGAGGTGAACATAGCAGCAGTGTCAAAATAGTATATTATGTCATCAGGCGATATAAAGTATTATATGGCGAATGTGGCATTATAATCCGAGCCGAAGGCGTCAGATAATGCTTTTATCGCCGTGTGATATACGATATTTTATGTCGTTGGGCTCGAAAACCGCGATCTAACCGAGCCAAGCGAGGTTAGAATCGCGGTTTTTTCGGGCCTAATGACATAAAATATAGTTTGATACATGTGCGACACACTCGTAAAAAACCCATCGCACTTGTATCCAAATATACTATTTCAAATTTGGATACTCTATCATAGCTTCATGCTGCCATCTACTGATGGCTGATGCACATACTTGAATCTTTCCTTTAGCACCGCTGTTTGATCGGCAGAACCTTCACTCTCTTCAAATTCCCACTTATGATCGTGCTCCCACATTCCTCTTTGTGGCAACCACTCAAAAGCCCAGTCGTCCCTCCATGGGACCACATAACCAATAATGCTCGTGTTCCCCACCCCTCAAATCCAGGCTCTTTCTTTGCCTGGGCAGAATATAGATAGTTGCAATAATGAAGGCATTACTATTGTTGTAGATAAAGAGATTCCTGCAAAGTTGTCTCATCCCAATTCAATTGTGGAGTTGTTGATGAAATCATCGGTATGATCGTACAAGTTTCCATCACAATTTGACGTTTTCATAATTATCATTATCCTCACCACAGGGATTTGTGCGGAATTCTTCTTCTTCTGTTCGTTATGATTATATCCTCAACTCAAAGAGAGAGAGGCAAGGACCATTGCTCCTCCTAAAGAGAGTTCTTGGTATGCCCTAGAGAGGGCGTTACTAGTTTTCTTATTCAATAAGGTATGATACAGGGAGGTATGGTGAAGCTTTGATGTCGCCGACACCGAAACAGGGGACAAGTTCCAACGGAAGCCGCGCGCGGCGCTGTTGCGTCCCTTCCCCTCACGCGGATTAGATCTCCCACCACACGCCGATTTTACTTGCGTTGCGAGTTCAAATCCCCGTCAAATCAATTTTTTTTTTTTTTTCATGAGAGAGAAATAGTATATTTCGTAACGAGTGCAAAAAAGTGGTTTTTGGCGAGTGGGAGGTTTATAACACGAGCCGAAGGTGAGTGATATAATTTCACGAGCCAAAAACCACTTTTTTCACGAGTTACGAACAAAATTTTTCATCACAATGTGTCGGAAAGTTACTTCTCCGATACAGCGTGATGAAAATAAAATTTTGTGTTCAATCGAGAGGAACAGGATTAAAAAATGTTGAGATGAAAACTATATGATTCTCACCAAATAGTTCTATGGGATCGAGCGATAAAGATTGACTGAGAGTCATGTCGACTAGACGATTGAAATACTAATTAGAAGGAAGAATAATTAACATCAGAAGTCCATTTTATTAATTATTCCTCTTCTCTTCAGTGAAGCTTAATGGGGAAGAATTTGGAGGGATGGGATTACGATAATGAGGATCCCAGTTTGAACTATGTTATTTAAAGTTTTCTTCTATGAACAAGTTTTGAAAAAGATACGAGGGTCATAATGGTCACGAGGGGTGAAATAAATGAGGTACAAGGGGTTTCAAGATCCACAAAAAAAAAAAAGTCCCAACTATTCACTTACGCACCTCACACAAACAACAATCGTTCTTTGACACTTGATCACTCGATAGCAACTCACCGCTTTTTTCCAGCTNCACTTGATCACTCGATAGCAAATCACCGCTTTTTTCCAGCCATTGTCGTCGCTTCTCAATTTTTTTCACACTGGGAAGGGAGAAAAAACGATAATTATCCTTAGAAGATGCTTTGCAATTTATAATTGCACACGATTTAATCATTTTACATGAATCAACTCGCGCAGACTGTTCAGATCTATTGGAGTACGTTTTGGAACAGACATAAACAAACAACATTCGCGAGATATTTTCGCGCGAAAAATAAATATTGTTCAACATTGGACAAAAATGCATTTTCATTTTATTTTCAATGCTATTATATTGAGCAGTGATTTCACTCTCAATCTTGGTAATTATTTTCAGTGAAAAAAGAAAGAATTCAACTATTATAAGATAAAAATCACCCCTTAATGAAAGGGTGAGCGGGCCATTGACTATTAAAGAAATAGTACATGAAAAACCAAGAGTATATTTGCATTTTTTAATTTTTCTTCGCATTGTACATGTAATTTCATACGGGGCTAATTATTTTGACTTGAAATATCAATTTCATAACGTTCCCTCCAGCAAAAAAACTGCCAGTGGTGGGAGACTAAAGGAGATGAGGGGAAGCGTGAGTCGACCGGAACGCCGCTTCTGGCGCTCCGGCGAACTTGTCCCCTGTTTTCTGGCTTCATCATACCTGCTTGTGTATCATACCTTATTATTCAAATGTCAAAGTCGATTTTTAATCAGTGGATATGCCCCAAGGAACTCCCAATTTTTCCAGCTATTCAGACAACACAAGCGAAAAATGAATAACAATTTTTATGGAAAGACTATTACAACTTGACATTATTTATCATGAAGAATTCATCAATATATTTCATAACTTTAATATTATTTTTTAAGTAAATTTTTTGAATACCATCTATATTAACATTCACTGCTCTCAAATCATTTGCGGATTCATTACTCTTTAAATTATAATTTGGCCAGGTCCATCAGACATGCAAGCTGAACTCAATAATATTTTCCCAAATAAATGACTATTAAGTAGAGTGCGATTTGATTTTATTCTATCACATCTTGTGATCGTACTTCTAGATAATTTGTCTTTTGCAAACCATTGCTGATTATATATGAATTCTTTCACATGTTTAAAATATTTTATTCCTTTACTGCTCCATTTCAGTAACAAAGTGGTAAAACGGTTTAAGTCGACTCCCAGTTGAGTTTTTGAGGAATATTTCCGAATCTAAGGGAGATAGCGAAATTTTCGTTACTAGATTTGTTGTAGCCCTCAATCGGCTCTACAAAAAAGGTTATAATAAAAATTTTGTTATCCCCTTTAGATTCCGAGATATTCATTGAAAACTGGCTGTCAATAGTAAAAGTTGACGAGTACTGTTTTGCCACTTCGCTATTGATTTTCATCTGCCTAAGTGAACAAATACTGGTTAGAATCTGAAATAAGTTTTTCTTTAATTTATGTAGGGGAAGTTGTTGGAGTAAAACGGACACTTTTGACTTTTTTAAAAATGTTAATGAGGAGTTGAAATGTTGATGAAATTTCATAATCTTTTTCTCAATACAAAGAACAATTCTTTCCCTTTGTGATGAGCCTAAACTGAGCTCAATTGATAAATTTGTTTCTGAGTTATGAGTAATTTAAAAAAAAGTCTAGTGTCCATTTTACCCCACCCTTCCCTATGCATTCCCTTCAATAGACTTTTTCTCCTCCCATTGTATCATTATCTTCTCGAGCCAATTTTGCCACCTGATCTGCTTGTTCATTTATCTAAATTCCTTTATGTTTGTGCGGACTTTTATATGTCGCTAACTTGTCACAAAACAATGAGCACACACTGTTGCTGTAGCACAAAATATAGCGAGTGCGGCTAGAACTCAAAGGACCCAAAGCGAATGAAGATTGAAGACCTTCACTTGCTACCACGAGGTGTGTATCAGGAATGTGTACAGTATAGTTTATGTACATGCTACGAGTACGAGCGGAAAGGACCGCGGAAGTCACCTCAACTGATTGTTTTCGAAGATTTACTATGTTTTTAAGTGTATACAAACACTTGTGAATCACCCTATAGCCTGTAACTAACGACAGAGCATTTTTTTTATAAAAGGACAAGTGAAAGTTTTTTTTCTATCGTGAATGATTGGTGTTGATCCAGTGACTTGCGTTTCAACGACTGCGTTAGAGAGAGAGGGCTAGAAAAAAAGCATAAAAACGGGGTTGAGAGCTCGGTAGGCGTTGCTGCTGTCACTTGGCTTCTTTGGTTTTATGAAGCCAGTGGATATAAACATGTTGGTTTTCTACAACTTCTAGTTTGTCTGGGCTACTTGGATTCTTGGTCACCATGTCATTCACTGTCAACTGATCCACTGAATTCGCCACAGCCCCAGTTTACACAGTCATGTGATGATACATTCGATTCCTCCTTGAATTCTCCAAATAACAAGTTGCATTGATTGTGTTTGCCTCGGAAAGGAAAAATGTTCACGAAAAAGAAGAAGAAACCCCAGATTTCTACCCCCACAAATTTCGAACACCGAGTGCACACCGGCTTCGACAAACGTGAGGGCAAATTTGTTGGTTTACCGCTGCAATGGGCATCAATTGTTGGTAATAATCAGATACTCAAGTCAACAAATAGACCACTACCTCTTGTTGATCCCAGTGAAATTACACCGACGGAGATATTGGACTTGAAAACGATTGTCCGGGGTCATAATGATCCAAGACTTCCAACGGGGAGAGCGGTTGTCGGCGAAAAAGGGGAAAATGGTTTGCCTAAAACGAGCACCGTCGCGAGGTCCAACTCATTGAGGTCTTCTAGTCCACCTCGACTTAGGCGCGATTACAGGTGATTTTTTTTTCATCATAGAGCATAGCAAGGATTTAAGATTTTTCAAGATTCCAAAATTCACAGTTCGACATCAATATTTTTGATAATTCCATTCACGTGAGAAAAAACAAAGAAAATTGAGGGTCTTCACTCAAAGTTACAAGCACTCAGAAATAATTGGATTTTTCTTTCATGTTTATGACAATTTTAATCCGCAAACCCAAGGGGATTGGGCAGAAATTAAATAAACTGGAGGCACTCAATGCAGACGCTATTATGGGGTTATGTGGGGCTTAATTTATCAAATGTCTTGGTCATTTGTCTGGGTTCCACAAATTTTTTCTTGGTCATTGAATTCGATATATTTTTCCACATTATCCTCTATTGTTATTCTCACTTCTTGAATTTTCTAAAAAGCGAATTATCAATTTGAAAATAAATTACATACCCACCCCTGTATAAGAAACAAGTGAGAAATTCCTCTTGTCTTATATATAGTGTAGTTATTTTTGCTTTTTTTAGTTATCGTGGGACAACAGATTTTCGAAAAGATTCAAAAATATAAAAAACTAATCTTTGAATTAAATTTTAATTAATGGCGATTGATAGGAAAAAGATCCAACTGCATCCATTCATTAGCGAACAATTGAAGAAAAACTTTACCACACATACGTACGGACACGGTCTAAAAATGTTCCAACACAAAAAATCCAAAACTTAAATTTAAAAAATTTGGTAATTTCATATAAATATTTTTGTCTGAATATTTTCTTAATTATCCATAAATTTCGGTTCATGTGAAATTACTTAATTTTTCTCGATAATTACAAATCTGTATTTCCGGAAACCATATACATATCCTTAATATTGTCAAGGACGACCCCTCTTTGCTCGTAGTCCTGAAACAGCCCCAAAACCATGCAAGAAGAAAGAATGAATCATTTTCCATTTTGTTTGTTCAATACCCTCGATTTTGCAGTAATAAAGCCTAAGGCACATTTCAGTTTGTGAAATATATTATATCGTTTTAAAGAATTATTAAATACCTAGGAAAGCCTCCCTAAAACGAACGCACATAATTGAAGATACGAACTGTACTTGTGGAACGAAAGTCAAAACATTCCATATTCTGCGGCATTGTTTCGTCCTTCGTCCAGCAATGAAAGGACAACACTCATTGGAGAATTGAAACAAGTAAAAGTTCCACTTATGAACTCAATCACCCCCTTATTGAAAACAAAGAATCCAAAAATTCTTCAAATACTACACAAATTCATCATAAATAGTAAAGTAAATATCTAAAATCAATGATTGTAAGAAGTGTAAATATTTTGATTAAGGCCCGGGTGGATTATCTTTCGAACGTTATCTCCATTGTTTTTCCATCTTCATAATGTAAAATATATCACAATTTCCATCCCTAACAATTATGATTGTACAGTCAAAAAAAGTAGAAAAAAAATGAACATTTTTAAAGAGCGTTTTTAATGAAGATTAACAAATAGGTCCGATAGAGAGGAAATAGTGAATGAATAATTTATCACGGTAACTAGCGATCTGACAGCTATTGACTACTGTGACAAATGACGATCTAACAGCCATTAGATACATCAAATTATTAATTTACAATTTCCTCCCTATTGGGTTTATTTCCCAATATTATTCAAAAACGCTCTTTCATCATTTCAGATAAGCAAAATAAAAAAAACAACCAAGATCACGTTTGAAAGATAATCCACCCGGGCCTTAAGTTAACAGAACATTACTGATAGTGTAATTAGATCTGGTCGATTTAAGTACTTTGAATAATAAAAAAAAATACTTAGGATGTTTACTAGATTTACAACGATACTTTTAGTCTCCTCCGACTGACGTTCCTTCAAGGACAACTATTTTTGCCCTCAAACTATTCGATTCATAAGCCAAGATTTTTTAATAAGAAAAAACTCAATCCATCATAAATGTTATACCCAGTCCTCAATAGAAAAATCATGTGACTCTGCAACATCCTATGAGTAGTTAGTATTATTTTACAAAATTAACGCGTTAATGAAGAATTTCATCATTTTTTTTCAGAACTAATACGAATTTACCTCCATCAGTGCCTGAGGGTCATGAAATGTCACCATCTCCCAGCAACTACCATCAGCTATACCCATCATCCGATACTGGAAAGAATCATGGAGTTTCTGATAAGATTCGCCAGAATACGGAGAACGTTGGAGCTGGACTCAATTCAAATTTGCACAATATCATTCCCAATCTGCAGAACATGAATCCGAACATGCAGTCCTCTCCGAACCTGACTCACTCCAATCTCAATGCACCTAATCTATCAATCAATTTCCAAAATCTGAGTCCAATTCCAAATAATCAGAATTCTGGAAATAGTGTTCAACAGAGTATGCAGGAGAACGACTTCCAGAGGATGAATCCGTCGTCATCGATGAATCTACCAGGTCATTGGAATAATGGGAATAATCAGGTAAATGATTTTTTTGCGATTTTGTCTTCTAATACAGCAGCTTCTTGTGAGCAGACTTCGTTCAAGGCGCACTTTTTTACGTTTTCTCTTCTAAATGAAACATTGTAATCGTTTTTGGAATTTTTATTATCCATTGACAACAATTAAAATTCAGTTTATCATAAAGTTTGAGAAATATTCATGTTTTTACCTAAACCTATGTTTTAACGATCACTTGAAAAATAATTATTAAAACAGATTTATTCACAGTTTGAAGAAGTAATGTCGATGGTCTTTTGATTCTATCAGAATATGGTGAGAGTCCTACCATTTATTTTTGAGTAACAGTAAATTGTTTGTGAGATCTTTTTCAAAAATTAATTTTTCAATGATTACTGAAAAAGGCACCACCGAAAGCAATTAAATTATGCCTTAAAAAACTTGTTTTTGGATAGTATAGTTACCTTTCGATTGTAAACGAGAGCATTCACGTATGAAAAAATTCAATAGAAAACCTAGCGAATTCGCTAAAAAATTTATTGGAATTCTATAAGAATTCTATAGAAATTGTATGGCGGTTGAAAAATTCTACCGGTTTTTTACACTGATTCTGTTGGATATTGGATAAGAAAAAGTCAGTAGAATTTGAATTTCTGTTTGAATTTTTCTCTTGAGATTTTTTCTGTACGAATGCTTGAGCATCAATTTCCCAAGTTTTTTCCACTCGGATTCTGTAATGAAAAACAAAATAAAATCCAGCGGAAAAAACTTGGAAAATTTGAAACAGTCTCAAGAATAAAATTCGAACAGAAATTAAAAATATATTGACTCTTTCCTATCAAATATGCGCTTGAATCAGCGTAAAAACCAAGTAAAATTTCTCAATAGAATTCCGACAGAAATCCTATAGAAACTTCATAGAATACCTATAGAATTCTTATATAAAATTCCAATAGAATTTTCTAGCGAATTCGCTACGTTTTCTATTGAATTTTCTCATACGTGTTGTTTACGTTAAAATTACGGTAGCGAAGCGAGAAAATGGGTCAAGTCGATGTTGACTTTTGGTCTGTTTTTGATGCATATCTCGGAATCTAAGAGAGATAGCCAAATTTTTATCATGATCTTCTTTATAACCAATTGGCTCTACAAAAAAAGGTATGACAAAAATTATTCTATCTTTTTTTAGACTCCGAGATACTCGTCAAAAACTGACCAATAGTCAAAATCGACTTCACACGATTAACCGCTTCGCTACTGATTTGGGTTTTCAAATTTTTGTGTCAGAATAACTAGGTATGATCTGCAAAGTCTGAGAATACCATTCTTAGAATGTGTCCGTATGTATGTGTGTGTGATCGTGTAGTTTGTCAATTTTTTGGGATTTCCTCTTTTCATCAAAATTTTGATTATTAAAGGGAACGATGTTATAGAATCCGAGTGTAATGTATTCGGAAACACATTGCCAATTCATTAACAACAACATCTATACTCAGTTATAAACAATGCAATTATTCACTTATTTGCGATGACCCCGTGAAAAAATGTTCGTGAAAAGGTGTTTAATCCATTGTGGAGCCTTTTCATTCGTGTCTTTCACTATTCGAAAGAAAACAGAAAGATAAAAAATCTGCAAATAGCTTGCCAGCAGCAATATCACTCTGAGATCTTTAAATTTCATGAAAATATTTCCATCAATCGCACATCTATTCGCACAGTGTTTAGGTATTTCTGGTAAACAAAGAAAACATTGCTACATATGCTATTTGATGTCAGATACCACACTGATTGACTGGAATTCGAACACAAAAAATAATTGACGATAATCATCATTTCTATGGATGCCGTCTTTCACAACTTTACGGCTAGAAATTTCCACTATTTCGTTTGAAATGTTGGGTTCAAGGAAAACCACCGTTCATGCCACTACTAGGGATTCAATCTTGGCCATTTCTTAGGCAATCCTCATCTCATTAGTCGTAAACAAAAGAGAAATCTATACAATTATAGTCTATGCAAATTGAAGAACATAACACAGTCTCTTCAAAATAATTGCGTTTGTTTTCCGTATTATCCCCGGGCTATTTTACTCAGTCAAACCTTAGATATTTTAACGGGAGACTACTATGAGTTTTGAAAGTCGCGGGCGATTGGAGTAAGATTTCTCATACATTGAAGATCGATTATATTTATATATGTCTAAAAACGAATAATTAGGGTAAAAAAATTAAGTGTTTATTATGCGTTTGCACCGCGCACGCTTAAAATGTTAAAAGTAGTCCAAGGCCTCCAATTCTTGAGCTACAAAGGTTTCTTTTTCTTCAAAATTTTTGAAAAAAATGTGTGGAATAATAGATACGAATTGGTTTTTTGAAATTCGATTCCTACACAGCTAATTTCGTTTCGGTTAAAATCACAATTTGCGCCATTCATGTAAAATAGGCAGAAAAATTATCCTTAAATTATTTAAAATATATTCTCGATTCTTTCAGAAACATTTTTCGGACTATTTTACATGAATGGTGCAGTTTTTTCTTAAACAAGTGGGAAATTGCTCTTGTATTCTATATATTATAGTTATTTTTGCTAATAAATTAACAATATACTTCCAAATAGTTATTTTGAACATAATTTCCTTCTATCATGTATAATTCATTGTTTATTTCATTTTATTAAATTGAATAAGATTTCCTTTTACCTAATTTTGTCAAATTTTCAACTTAGTTGAATGTCGTCAGCATCATTATTCTTTTTATCCCTTTTCTTCTATACAACCAATTGTCTTTTTTACAATTCTATCTCTCTCCTCAGCACTTCGATAAAATGTTAATAGAAAAATTTTATTTGCACATACTTGAATGAATTTGAAACATCACATTTCAAGAAACCACCAGAAAGCTCGTTTTCAGGGAAATTCATAAAAAATTCAAAATTTTCAAAAATCATAAAAATCAAATCAACCAATATAGCTATCATAATCATCTTTCAACTCCGACTTATTGGCATTAAAACAATCCTTTCAAGCTAACATTGAATTCATTTAAAGCACGATATTTGAAGATATCCCCGGAATTCTTATTTTCAAAAAATACAAAATTTTTGAAAATTTTCGAATAAATCAAAACTACTATTATTGCTATCGCTTTCATCTTCGAACTTGGTCAAAAGGACATCCCAACGATTTTTTTAAACCGTCATTCAATGAATTTAGGACGTTTTTTTTAGTTATCGTGTTACAACTGAATTTTGAAAAAATTCGAAAATAAAAAAAATGAATCAATGAATTAAATTTTAATTTATGGCGATGGATAGGGCTTAGCAATACCTTCATTTAAGAAAAAAATGATTCAATTCCATCGCTTCATTAGCGAGAAATTGCCGAAAAACTTGTCACATACATACATACACATATACGGACGGACACGGTCTAAAAAATACATTTTCGGATTTTTTGAATTATCATGGGTCGATATAACACAAAAAATCCAAAACTTAAATTTGAATGATTACAATGCTACCATTTGGAAGCAAAAATATTAAGATTAGCTGTGTAGCAGCTGAATTTCAAAAAACTAATTCGTAATTGTTATTGTACACATTTTTTTCAAAAAATTTGAAGAACAAAGAAACCTCTGTAGCTCAAAAATTGGAGTCTCTGGACTATTTTTAACATTTTAAGCGTCTGCGGGACAAACGAACAATAAACAATTTTTTTGCACTAATTATTTATTTCTGGACACATATAAAAGATCTTTAGTGTGTGAGAAATCGCATTCCAATAGCCCGCGACTTTAAAAACTCATAGTAGTCTCCCCTTAAGGTACAAATTACATGGAAAGCATGCGTTTGCTTTCACTACATCAGTGTGGAACTCATTACATGTCTAATTTTACTCGTTCCAGGGTGGATCTGCAGACATGATGCTGCATAAAATTCCTACAAAAGCATCACCAGTTGGTTCAATCGCATCTCAGCGTCCTCTAAGCCAACTGAGCTCCCACTACGGTAATAAACCTACACAAGGTCCTCAAAATTCGTATGGCCTATCTGAAAGTGCTACAACATCACCGGCAGCCGTTCCAACTGCTGTAAACCCGCCTCAGCATGGGCATTTTGGAAAACCACTGGAAACAGCTCAATCACAATCAATGCATAATCTGTCCAAGGTGACGGCAGGGCCAGGAATAAGTCCTGACCAAAATCAAAATTTGAAGTCAGCAGCTTCTTCCGGAAATATATCAATCAGTCAACACATGAACTCACAGAATAAACAAAATGCAGATCAAAGACTCACTCACGAGCAATTCAGAACAGCTCTGCAAATGGTAGTAAGTCGTGGAGACCCACGAGATAATTTGGATAATTTTTTGAAAATAGGGGAAGGCAGTACTGGTACAGTTTGCATAGCAACGGATAAAAAAACGAATCGCCAAGTGGCAGTAAAGAAAATGGATCTTAGAAAACAACAGAGACGTGAATTGCTATTCAATGAAGTTGTTATAATGCGGGACTATCATCACCCAAACATTGTTGAGATGTATGACAGCTTTCTAGTTGATGATGAACTTTGGGTAGTGATGGAGTACTTGGAAGGTGGTGCTCTGACGGATATTGTGACTCATTCTCGCATGGACGAAAGCCAAATAGCAACTGTTTGTTCCCAGTGCCTCAAACCACTTGCCTATCTCCATTCCCAAGGAGTTATTCACAGGGATATAAAATCCGATTCGATATTGCTCACTGCTGATGGCAGAGTTAAATTATCAGACTTTGGATTTTGCGCTCAAGTGTCTCAAGAGCTACCGAAGAGAAAATCACTAGTTGGTACACCTTACTGGATGAGCCCTGAAGTTATCTCGAGATTGCCTTATGGGCCTGAGGTAGATATATGGTCTCTGGGAATTATGATTATTGAGATGGTGGATGGAGAGCCACCGTTTTTCAATGAACCACCGTTGCAGGCTATGAGACGCATCCGAGATATGCCACCACCAAAATTGAAAAATTCTCATAAGGTTTGTTTTTTGAGTTCATATGCTGTTTTATCGTCAAAATTGAATTTTAATTATTTTCCCTTCTCTCTTTGATACATCTTGAAGGAGTACGAACACAGGTCAATTTTAGAAATTATTCAAAAAAATGCCGAAAAACGGAGTTCGACCCGACGTTCTATGGAAAAATCACAATTGTTTTGAACACTTCAATTACAAATGAAGACGCAAATCTAATCTCTTTTTCATAAAATAAAAAATTTCATAAAATGATTCTCTGTTCTTCAAGCAAGTTACATTATTAATTCAGGGGAGAGTGGGGCAAAAGGAAACAGTCGAAAAATGACTGTTTGACTCAATTCAAGCAAAAAATTTTTTTTTATTAAATATTTTTGTTATTTACTTCTGTTTATTAACTTTTTTTTATTCTTGGGAGTACCAATGAGAATAATAATTTTCCATTCAGGAAAATGGAAAATTATTAAAAAGTTTTGACGTGAGAAAATTTTGTTAATGAATTAAATTGAAAAGAAAATAAAACAGCAGAATCTAAAATGCAGAGCAAGGCCCAGGGGGAGACCCAAAGGGGGAAAAAGGAAAATGTGATGCTGAATTTCAATCGAATAAAAAAAGAAAAGTGTAATCGGCCAAATCTAATCAATTGACTTATAATTAATTGAATTATAAGACGAATAGAAAATTATTATTCTCATCAGTACTCCCAAAAATATAAAAAGTTGATAGAACATTTTTTTTTTGCTTGAATTGCCTCAAATAGTTGTTTTTCGGCTATTTCATTTTACCCCACTCTCCCCTATTTCCATTTATGAAATGAAAAAAATTGAAGTGCTCTGGATTTGATAAAACCTAATTTGATTTGATAAGTAATTTCTAAAAAAATACTATGCTGCAAAATTGAAATTATTTATATTGATTATTCGTTCGTTTATTGGTTTTGCGATCATATCTGTACGTCCACGTGAAAAGGGCCCACTTTGTCGCATCTAGTTTCCGAGATATTCACGTTTTTCTCTTCACATCTCCCATTTAAACCAATGTTAAATTGTTTTTTTGATCGTCTATACTGGCGTCAGTTTTCATTCTATCGGGTTGATTTTTGGCTCAAAATGTGAGAAATCTGATCAAGATTATTGGAACATACATAACTCCAATACCGTCAAAGTGGGCCCTTTTCATGTGGACGCCCACATATATACACTTCATATGTAGGAAGAGAATATTTAATCTAAAACATTTAGCAAGTAAATACAGGCTTTTCGGTTCCACTTAGATGTAGATTGCGTTTTACAAAACCGTTTTACAAAATCTTGAAATTATTATGGAAGGAGAGTAAGAGATAGAGAGAGAAAAACAGAAAAAATAACTATGGGGGTATTCCAGATTGATTGTGAGCAGTCAAACTAAATAAGAAAATTTCAAAATTTAATTTGGACGATACTAATTAGATACGATTTTTTTCAAACTTTTCTCACTGAATTTGATTCTGAAACTCAAAAGCGAAAATATCTAAATCTATTATTATATTACACTCCAAGCAAAATTCATAGTTTTTTTTATTAAGGTCCGGGTGGACTATCTTTCGAACATTACCTCGATTGTTTTTCCATCTTCATAATGTAAAATGTATCACAATTTCCATTGAATTTTACATTACGTAGGAGTCCCTAAAAATTACGATTAGACAATCAAAAAAAAGTATAAAAACAATTGAACATTTTCAAAGAACGTTTTTAATAAAGATTAAGAAACAAATTCGTTGGAGAGAAAATTGTGAATGGATAATTTATCATGGTACCCAGCGATCTGACAGCCATTGACTGTCACAGTACAAATGACGACCTAACAGATACATCAAATTATTAATTTGCAATTTTCTCCTTATTGGGCTTATTTCTCAATATTATTCAAAAACGCTCTTTGAAAATGTTCAGCTTTTTTTCAACGTTTTTTTGATTCTACAATCATAATTTTTGGAGACTTCAGGGCTATGAAAAACTGAATAGTAATTGGAGATTATTTCAGATTATCAATTATCAGTTCCTCTCTGCCAGATTTTGACAATTGACTTCTATCTTTCCAACAGGTGAGTCCAAGGCTCCAAGGCTTCCTCGAGAGAATGCTGGTACGTGATCCAGCACAACGTGCCACTGCAGCGGAATTATTGCAGCATCCATTCTTACGACAAGCACAGAATCCAACAATTCTGATACCCCTTATGCGGGGTGCTCGACATACCAACTGTTGATACACTCGACATCTGCATAATCATAAAAGAGGAATCGATTAGATATTCACGAGTGGATAAACACAGATCATTATTATCCAAATTGCAGTTGAAAAATCTTTGACATTATAGTGACAGCACGCCATAGCCTTGTGCTATTTGCTCATGAACAAGTGTACAGTAACTCTAGAATTTCCACTTTTTGATATCTGGACTCTATACAGTCCAGTCTCCGTACAAGATACTAGGACTAAATCCGTGTCGAGTGATACCCCCATTTTCTGGTGTGAATGTTTTTTATTTCGTATTTTCCGTACAAGACACTCGACAAAGGGGCTAGAATTGAGTGGGAATAGAGTTGAGATATTGCCGAAATTACTGCAAATGTGTGCATCTATGATTTAGAACTTGAGGCATTTCGTGCGAAAAAGGTAAATAATGACATTCATCTGCAATTCATATAGAATGTTTATAATCACAATTGAATTGTCTATGAATTTTCATAGATTTTTTTTAGATTTCCTTTTCAAATTATTAATCTTAGTTGTTTGATGTATTGACTATTGATCTTGGTCGTTTTTTTTTGTTTTTATAATCTGAAATGATCTCCAATTGCTATTCAGTTTTACATAGCTCTGGAGTCTCCACAAACTATAATTGTACAATCAAAGAAACGTTAAAAAAAATTGGAAAATTTTTAAGAGCGTTTTTGAATAATATTGGGAACCCAATAGGGAGTAAATTGCAAATTAATAATTTAATGTATCTAATGGCTGTTAAGTCGTCATTTATCACAGTCAATGACTGTCAAATCGTTAGTTACCATGATAAATTATCCATTCACTATTTCCTCTCTATCCGCCTGATTTCTTAATCTTTATTAAAACCACTCTTTGAAAATGTCAAGTTTTTTTCTCTACTTTTTTTTATTGCACAATCATAATCTTTAGGGACTCCTGCATCATGTAAAATCCAATGGATATTGTAATATATTTCTTACATTATGAAGATGGCAAAATACTCGAGATAACGTTAGAAAGATAATCCACCCAGGCCCTAAAGTCTCTGCTTATACATGGGCTCTAATGAAGATTTTTCTGTTTAGCATGAAACTATATTATCAGCTCAGATAGTAACGCAGTTTCGTGCTAAACAAAAAAAAATCCATAAGAGCTCATGTATAAGAAGCGAATTCAATCGCTAATAACTTGAAAAGGAAATCTGAAAAAAATCTAGGAAAATTCATAGATAATTCAATTGTGATTATAAATATTCTATATGAATTCCAGATGAAATGTAATTATTTACCTTTTTTGCACACAACACCTTAACTGCAGATTAATTGAATTTCAAAACAAATGGACACTCATCACAGTTAATAAAAAAGAATTAAACGCATCGGTCATAGAATGGTAAAATATCTATTTTTTACACGCATTGCACCATGTGTAGAGTTGGACAAAAAACAAAATTTCACCCAATTTTTATGGAAAACCAAAATTCCAATGAAAGGCTCAATTTTGCCTCGCAGACCCCTATTAACAAACTAACTTATTCCGAATTTCTAAATTAGTATTTTCAAAAGGAATAATAGGGTGAACAAGCCAATTGCTGGACGATTACGGGAAATTCGAGTTTCTTAGTAGGATCTAAAAAATAAGAATCACCTAAATGGGGATATGATGGCTTCCATACCTTCAAGAATATTGTAATTGCAGAGAAAAATTATTTGAAGTGAAAATCACAAGACGAAGAATAATTCAATTAAGAATCTGTTAAATGCAGCCGAAACCCCTAATTTCGGGACGACTGGACTACATTTTTTTTATTTATTAAATGTCGATCAATAGAAAAAATAATTGATCCCATGATTATACACGAGTAATATTATTGAAAGGTGAAATAATCAGTACAATTTTCATTTTATTTATGGAATACTCAATGCATGTTAAAATCATCTAGAAACTGACCTGTCCAGAAATTGACCTGTTTACCCTACACTTAATAAAAAAAAATTCAACGCATCGGTCATAAAAAATAGTAAAATATCCATTTTTATATGTATTACACCATGTATAGAGATAGACAAAACAAAACAAAATTCCCCCCAATTTTTATGAAAACCGAAACTCCAATGAAAGTCAATTTTGCCTCACAGACCCCTATTAACAAAATAACTTATTCCGAATTTCTGAATTTATATTTGCAAAAGGGGCAATAGGGTGCATAGGCCAATTGCTGGACGCTTAAGGGAAATACAAGTTTCGTGGCAGGATCTAAAATAAAAGAATCAAATAAATGGGGATATGATGGTTTCCATACCTTCACGAATATTTTAATCGGCAAAAAAAAATTATTCGAAGTGAAAATAACAAAAAAAGGAATAATGAAATTAAAAAATAGTTGAATGCAGCCGAAATCCCTAATTTTTGGAAGACTGGGCCATATTTTTTTTTATTTATTGAATGTCGATTAATAGGAAAAATAATTGATCACATGATTACACACCAGTAATATTATTGAAAGGTGAAATAATCAGTACAATTGTCATTTTATTTATGGAATATTCAATGCAAGTTGAAATCGTTCAGAAATTGACCTATTACTCTACCTTGTAATCAAACATTCGTGTTTCACATCAGGAATCATACTCAAATGATCATGAAAAATGGAAATCGTCTAGTATCTTCTCCGAAGAATATCAAATCAAAATATTTTCCCCCCCGAGCGCAACTAAAGTGGGGATGAGTAATTCTCGAAATTTTATTGCCCTAGTGTCCCTGTCCCTTGTACGAAGAATGGACTGTACAATTGTATAAGCTAGCGCATAACAAACGCATAAAAATCTGGCCCGACGTGTGTCCAGACCACAATCACATCCGTGGAATCTAACATTCCAATCATTCCCTATATTTTCCTATACATTTTTTCACTTCTCTTGAAGTCTAGAGTTGAATTTTCACCTTATTCGAATTTCCACATCACGAATGAGGTATTAAGTTTAAGTTTATACGAACGTTGCTATATTTATGATTCTTTATTTAAGTTTACAAAACAAGTGCCTTGAAGAATACAGAAAAAAACATTATTACTTCCTGAAAAATGTGAATATTCATGCTGGAAATGCATCATCGAGCTTATTGCATGGAAGCCAATACGAAAATATCAAATAACAAGCCCTGGTTGCAGAAATATTGGAACTCGTAGATCTACGATTGATTAGTATTTATAGATCTTAAGATAATCCATGTTTTTATTACTGTAAAAAAACTAATTTGTATAAACAAATTTATTGACATAATGAGCTAAAGGCAGCTCGGAATTGACTGTTCTTCGAGTAATGTAACTTTGCTTACAACTATACAAAACGACTTAAAACAATGAAGAGTGAAGATGTTTCATGGTGTTGAAAATAAAATGGTAATATTAATTTTATAAAATAAAATACGGCTCCCCGTCATTGAGATACCATCCACGATTTACAGTTACTCCAGGTTTTGACTTGCGTGCGATAAACAGGCATTGCAGAATTTATTGGAATATTCTCCTAACGCTGAAAATGTTCGTGATTGCGTCATCCTTGTCCGAAGCTAAAGAGAGAAAAAAGAAAAGACGTGGAGACACGTGCTCGAATTACTTTTTCTTTAGCATTAAACTAACTGATTGTACGCTTGACGCTCATTGGCTGTTGGAGTCGAGCCTCTCTACTCATTTCGACCGCAATAACCTTTCCACGACCTTCAATATTCTCTAAAGTGGGGGTAGGGAGTCATGTAGAAAAGTTAAGTGGCATTCGTCTTGGAGCAAAATAGTTTCTATTAATTACAGACTAGTTTTTTCTTCCCTCTCGTAACATTTTTCTGCACATTATTTTCTCAATTGGTCAGCGTCGAATCGAAACGACGTAAGTGGCGGGTATAATTATGCAGTTTCCGCCCTATTAGCTCTACGGTAGAGTTATAGTCTTGAAATATGACATTCTCAGAATATTTTAAATCTCGAGGAAATCTTACTCCACTCTGCAAAAAGCGGAGAAAATAACGATTTTCATTGGAGTGGGACGCTTCTACCTCTTCTTAAACAAGTCGGAAATTGCACTTGTATTATATACAGTATAGTTATTTTTTCTAATAAATTAGCAATATGTTACCCAATGGTTATTTTGCACATAATTTCCTGCTATCACGTATAATCCATTGTTTATTTCATTTTTTAAATTGAATAAGATTTCCTCTTACTCAATTTTGTCAGATTTTCAACTTAGTTGAATGTTATCAGCATCATTATTCTTATTATCCCTTTTCTTCTATACAACCAATTGTTTTTTTTACAGTTCTATCTCTCCCCTCAGCTCTTTGATGAAATGTTAATAGAAAAATTCTATTTACACATACTTGAATGAATTTGAAACATCACATTTGAAGAAACCATCAGAAAGCTCACTTTCAGGAAAATTCGTGAAAAATTCCAAATTTGCAACAATCATCATAAAAATCAAATCAACCAATATAGCTATCGTAATCACCTTTTAATTTTGACTTAATGGCATTAGAACAAACATTTTAAGCTATGATTGAATTCATTTGAAGCACGATATTCAAGGATATCCCCGGAATTCAAATGTCCAAAAAATGAAAATTTTTTGGAAATTTTCGAATAAATCAAAATAACGATTATTGCTATCGCTTTCATCTCCAACATTCGGTCAAAGGGACACCCGAACAAATTCAATTTTTAAACTATCATTCAATCAATTCAGAATATTTTTTTTAGTTATCGTGAAACAACCGATGTTCAAAAAATTTAAAAAACTAATCGATGAATTAAATTTTAATTAGTGGTCATCGATAGGGCTCAACAATACCACAATACATTTGAAAAAAGAAAGATTCAATTCCCTCTATTCATGAGCGAACAATTGAAGAAAAACTTCACCACGCACATACGTACGGACACAGTCGAAAAATCGTTTTGTCGGAATTTTGGATCAATTTAACACAAAAAATCCAAAACGTAAATTTGAACGATTACAATGCTTCCATGCGGAAGCAATAAAAATTCACCGGAAAGATATTTGTTATTTATTTGTTTGTGATACTCTTGAGAATTTCTATTGGCAGCGTCATATGTAGACGCCCGCATAAAAAGGGCCCACTTTGCCGATTATCTTTCTGAAACGCCTATTAAATCAATGTGAACCCTAGTCTGGTCACCCTACGCGACCCAACGATTGGTCACGTCCGCGGGGAAGTGCCGCCGTGTTATTTAGGCCCGAACGTTGCCAAATTCACTTTACACTGCCCGGGCGCGTTTAGCGAGTTTCCGGCAACTTCGCGTAACAGGTACTTTCATTCAACATGGGAAAAAATAATTCCTCTGTGAGAAAAAAATTGTTTTCTTCAGGAATTTCGAGAATTATGTTGTTCTGAAACTACTCTAATTTTTTAGATACTTTAATTGGAAAAGTCAAATTTTTTTGAATTTTTCTGATCAGCCATTCAATGGCAATTCAAGAAAAACGACGGGCTGCGGCGTTTCTCTCATATGGTGACCAATCTAGGGTTAAATTATTTTTATCATCTTCTCTAGCGACATCATTTTCCATCCAATCGATGTCATTTTGGGCTTCAAATGCGTGGAATGTTATCAACATTATCTGATTGTGAGTATGCATAACTCCGTATCGGCAAAGTGAGCCCTTTTCCTGCGGACGACCACATATTGTATAAATCATTCCAAACGAATTTCAAAACGAGTAGGTGTAACGTTTTTGATCCACTCTAATTCTTGATTTCTTTGTTTATAAATGGAGATATTGGAATTTTTAGCTCATGACAAGTGTTTCACTTTGTCCCACTTTCCCTCATAATAAAAGTAATAAAAGGGTTTTCACTCTGCAAAATTAGTGAGTCGGTAGTAATGGGTGAACGAAAATTTCAATGTACAACCGACTATACTTCTGGAGTGAAACAGTTACGTGAGAAAAAGACGTTTGGATATTTATCACGAAAAATTGTGATTCAAATGCGTTCCAACAGTGAGCAAGACTATTTCTTCCGATAATTGAAGAAACTTGATAATTGTTAATATTGTCTTCAGAAAATTTTATCTTCATAAAAAAAGATCAATTTGATGAGTCTAACATAAACTTGATTGAAGAAAAATTTGTTAAAATCGATCATGAAAAATAACCAGTTACAATTCGTTTCGAATTCCTTTTGTTTATACCATTATCCTTGACAAACGAAATGACTTTACTTAGAGCTGAAAACGTGTAGTAGAAAGGTCCACAAAACCATTCCAAACATCAGGTTCAAGAGATTTCAATAATAAGGAGACAAGGTTATAAAAAAATAGGAATTGTATACCTAAAGTATTGAGAAGTCTTCTATTTGCATACATAAAAATTTGAACCGTGAAAAACAGCTAATTTCGTTGCAAGACCGAAATAGCATATTATGTCATC